TGTACAGTTGGGTCCGTGTTTTTGCAGCAACGTGAGGCTGAGCGTTGCCGTGTAGTAGAACGATGCCGCTATGGAGCAGGCTTCCGCGGCGGTTACGAATATCGCGCCAAATTCAACAAGTTGGACACTTCACAATCGGCAGGTTTACTGGTTGATATGCCAACAAACAAAGAAGTATCATACACAACCAATACCGACAGAGGCGTGAAACGTAATGGCAGTGTAGTTGCAGACTGGTCAAAAGTGCCTGAGGTTGAACGGACGTCACGTGACACGACGCGCGGCCACGATTCGCTGTCGGTACTCACTTTAAAAATGGTACTCGCAAATACACTAAACTAGGGACTAGATTTCCCTCGGGACTTCTTTATCAGCAAGCACACATTGCTGTTGGTGGAACTTGGTATGTCTGATGTGGGGGAAAGGGCGCGTTACTGGCGTAAAATAGGGGAATTGTGTTGGAATTTTGTCTCACCGTGTACGGATACAGATTTTCTGTATGATCGCTGTACCATTAGCGTCACAGTTCACTCAAATTTGAATGTGAATATCTCGCAGTGAAATTGTGATGGTCGCATGTCTTCCGTGTCTCTCTAGTCCTCGCGAATCTGTCTCATTGTCCAGCTTGATTCGGTCTCTGTCTCTTGTCGCTGTCATGACGCGGAACTTTTACATTTATTTTACATGATTTCTCGTAATTCACAGCACCTGGTCCAGCTTATCATTTATTGTTTCCCGGAATTTCTCATGTTTTCTGAGATACAAAGCCCACTACAGAGTTCTAGTTTATAGTATGCAGGGTGTAAGTGTTGTGATAGTCATTATTTAAATGGGTGATAGAGGGGTTAAAAGAAGCAAAAAGTTTCATATAACATGAGAAAAGCGACTTTAAAGTAAAATAGAATCTGACAACGCCACCATGCCAGACGCAAATTACGACGGAACGCAGTGTAAATAAAGATGGAGTTTGTTATTTTTGGCTCTTAGGTATTATTTCATTATTTGGTAATATACTCGTAAAATGCAAACAATTAAAAAAATGGACTGACCACTAACTGTCTCAGCGCTTATTGAACGTATGAAAAAACTCCACTCATAAATAGGGGACACAATTTTGATACACTGTTTTTCTTTTTAAAACCCACACTGCACTTTTTGTGTATTTAAAGAAGGTGTTCAAAATGTCGTCCTCTACTTTCCACATAAGCTTCATTACGACGAACCCAGTTTTTGTTGTCCATTTATTATTTCAGGCGCATTAAATTTTTTTTCACGAAGTTGTACTTCAGTTGTTATTGGACCTTCCCCATAAACCGGCCCTTTAGGTTCTCCCCAATACCAGAAATTCATCGGATTGCGGTCAGGAGGTCTTGCTGGCCATTTTCGAAGATCAGGATTTGGATAATGTTCATTCAAATACTGAATGACGCGTCCAAAGATGTGCGGTGGTGCCCCGTCATGAAGAAACCACAAATTCTGTCTCCGTTGTGATGGCATGTTGTCCAAGTTCTGTTCCAAAAGTTCTGGTAGGTTATTGGCTAGAAAGCTAAGCTATCCTTCTCCTGACAACTTTGGGGGTAACTCGAAAGGGCCAAATACCTGATCGTCAATAATGCCCGCCCAAATATTTATTTTAAAACGTTGTTGGAAATTACCTTCACGAATGGTATGAGGATTTTCCTGGACCCACGTGTGAGTGTTATGGAAATTTAATATCCCGTCTCGCGTAAAATATATTCCTCCCGCGCTAGCTAGCATGTTTTCAAGAAAATCAGGATTTTTCAATGTTTTTGTGTAAAAAACACTGACATAATGTTAGTCTGCGAGGATAGTCTTCTGGTAATGAGGCCTGCACTCGTTGTACATGGGACGGATAAAGCAAATGTTCCTGTGGGATTCTATGGACTATGGTATGCGATAGTCCCACGCGGTGGCCTATTTGCGGAGTGCTGATATCTGCATTTATTTCCACGATATTTAAAATTTATTCCTCCTGCTCTACAGTAACCTGTCTTTCACGAGTGCGAATATTAGTGGGCTGGCTGAACACTTCCTGTATCTCGAAGTCTTTGGTACACTTGCACAAATGTCCTTGTGTCTGGGTGTACCCGTTGGAGAAATCTGTCGCGATAAATTTGAGCTGCAAAATTTGAACTCTCACGAGCTTCACCGTAAACTAACAACATGTCGGCGAACTCTTGATTCGAGAACAGTATAAATAAACACGACGACGTACGCAAACAAAAACAAAGCAACACGCCCGATGCTCTGCTCGACAAAACGTTAAAGTGATTTATCTATGCAAAATGATTTGCGATCGATTGCCGGTTCGATGAGAGTGATGAAAGGCCGGCGCGCTGTTGTCATGTGTGTTTTAAATATTTAATTTAAGGAAACTTACTGACTTAAGTTAGAAAAACTTAATGCCATTCATTTGTTAATTACCCAATTTAAAAACGTTTTAGATTATATTATAAAAATGAGTAAGAATGTGGTGATTGTGGTCGATATAAGGCACTTAAAGTTCTAAACTATAAAGCCATTTAGACAAAAATCTATAGACTTTTGACCTTGGATCATATGAACTTTTTGACTTGTTTTGACACTCCCTATTACCCATTTCAATAATGACTACCATAACGTTCACAACCGGTATATATGTAACTTCAAAGCGGCTGCAGTTAGTAACTTATACCTACAGCAACTTTAGTTATCGTGAAATGTATGGAATTTATTTCCTAATAAGAAAAAATCTCCTTACCTGCAAACATCCGGAAGCTGTGCTCTTAGAGGCTGTAAATTTCTAAAGCGCTAAATTTCGGATTTGTAGTAATTGAATTTAAACTTGGGGTGATGCAGATTCACGGCAAGGAATCGAGTGATTTATGTGCGTGAAGTTCCTTTCAGAATTTCGAAAATCAGCTGCGGGTTGCATGAGGTATAGAGACTATTTTTTTCTCGTTTGTTAAATTACATTTTTACAGCGAACAACTTCCATGCCAGGCGCAGGTATTCATGCCGCTACATTGCCTATCGTAATATCATTATAAAGGAATGCCATCCCATCTGGACATCAAGCATTATAGTTGTGTAGGTTTTCTAATAAGGAACATTATTCATGGTGCTATTTTTTGTGAAAAGCATTTGAAAACCTAAACGCCGATGCACTGTTACTGCTATAAAGACATTAAAAGTGGAATAATCATTCCATTCTCGACTGGCAGAGTGTTCCACAATTTCAACATCCTAGGCACAAAGGAGCAGTTACCCAGGCTAGTCCTGGATGCACGAAGTTCGTCAGCATCAAATATGGATAGAGTAGTTGGAGTGACAGCACACCAAACATGTAAGAAGTATCCGAAGCTGGGTCTTAACTAAGATTTTTACAGAGTTAAGAGGTGTTTATGTGCTTATTTGGGTTTGATGTATCACCGTTTCAGAACTATTAGTGGTGTGCGCGACACTTACAACCCCCTGGGCTAGGGATTTGTGGAACTAGTTCTGAATCGGTTTTTAGTTTCTTGGGGTTAAAAGAGAACTATTTCAGTACAGCGATAGAACTGACTTTCGCGGCCCTGGCATAAGACAAGGATTATGCTGCGTTTTTTAGTACGTTTTTTGGTGATTACTCCGGCGTTTTGTCGTTTATGCATTATTGGAATTTATCTTTCAAGTAGTTTATTGTCGAAGAAATTAATATAATTTAAATATTGAGCTTAACTAGATATAATAGAGTCAATCAAATAGCATTCTGCGCATTTGGATTGCACTGACCAACAAATGTCCTCAAGCAGTATTCTTTAATACCTTGGGATAAGATCGCTTAAAATGTGTATGCAGAAAAAACTGAAACACTTACTATCTTTTGGAAATTTGTTTATTCAAAAAAAAACAAGAAACTTCTGTAGGGAATTCTTTAAAAAAATATTTTGAGTATATTTTGGTTCTTTTTTGCTTGTCTTTTATAAATATAACAGCTTATCTCGTTTTAATCTCCAACAAGAATCTGGAAGCATTCTTCGCGCTCCAGTTTCTGGAGAAAAAGATGAGTTAATGAATCTTCAACGACATATTATATCCTAAGACTTTATGATCTTGTATTTGCTAAGAAACCATGTCCTCTTAGTTTGCTGACTTTGTATGTCCAAAAAAATCATTTCAACACTTCATCCCTTGGTATTTAATTTTGAAATAAAACTGGTACCCTCCACGGCTTTCATTATATGCGGCCCTAGTAGTAGTGATGAAGAAGCGATCCCGTAGTACCAACACTGTACTACTCCACACGCCATCTACTGTCAACTGATTTTATTGAATAAGCTAGCTGCAGCGGTGAGAGGTACCTATTGTTAATACTGCACCCACGTGCGTGATATAAACAACTCACAACACAACATCCATGCCACGGAGTTTACTTCCGAGGCGGAGATTCGAACCAGGGAGCCCCCCCACCTAAAAGCTCGGCTTGAGTTGCGGACAAATGAAAGTCTTCAATTGAATCATTTAGTTAACCTTGACTTATCAAATGTGGCTGGTTTTAATTTCCAACAAAATTTTGTGACTGAGTAATGGTGTGTGGAAGACTCCGATTCGATGTCGCTTACGTTGACTTCTGTATCATTTTCGTTGATTGGAGGCTGAGGTTTATTTACTGACTCCAAATCAATACATACAACTTTATATCTCGTTTTATGAGAATACGCTGTCAGTTTCGTTAAACAGAAATAACAGTCAGTAATATGACCTAATTTCCTCGTCCAAATTGCAGGCTTATTGCACTGCCAGGTGGGTTTTAGAACATCATCTTTAATAATGAGCACACTTTACACAAAAATAACTAGGTGCCTAGACTTTACAATTACGAGTACTTATGCTGAACAATGCTATTGGTTTGAAACTATTGAATGAACGAATGACGCTCATATAAGCGTTTGCTCTATTTAAGACTACATCAGCCATCAAGTTTCGTCTACATACTGAAAAAGATCATAGTTACTTACGAGTATATGGGCTCCCTTTTGTTGTCTGACTCTTTGAACCATATCACTATATGCATCTTGTCACCTGGTATCGACGGTTCGATGTCACACGGGAGTTTCGCTACACTGCCCTGTACGGCTTCAATATCGTACGAAGATGTCACTGAAACAAAAAAGCATCAATATAAGTTCGAACGATTATTCTGCGGGAGACTATCGACCTAAAATGGTACTCAGAAACTTAATAATAATCGCCTCTCATTCAATTGAGTAACCTGGCAAAACTAACAACAAACAAAATATTTTCTAAACTTCACCGGGTGAGACGATTTCGGCTTTTGATGGTATTTGAGCAACCATGTTTGGCAAAAATTGCATTAGCTCCTTTCTGTACAAAAACTATTTAAAATAGCAATATGATCTAGCTTACATCAAAGTACTGTGGAGTATACTGATGCAAGGATCAAGACTGGTCACAGTGCTTTAGAAAGTTTATATAATGGTCACAATAGATCCATTTGGGACGCAGTGACGTTAAGGCTAGCAGGTCAACCCCCTTGTAATCTAACCTAATACAGTCTTAACCAAGCCACTTGATGATTTTATCGTTACCCTTCATATCACGGAATCTTTCGATTAGCTGTGACATGGTGCTCTCTTATGCAAACATCCATACTATGTCCCCCAGAGAAGCTTTGCGGTTGGTGGCCCACATCCCCTCCGACCGCAAGACATCTCTCAAAACTGATGGGTGCCTCTTCATCCCAAAACCATTCAAAATAGGTAAGGGCAAAAAACGTTCGGGAACCAAACAAATCTGAAATGAAAGAATCTAATGCAGTCTAAACCAAGTCACATCATGATTATCGTTGCCCTTCATATCACGAAAGCTTTCGATTAGCTGTGACATGGTGCCCTCTTATGCAAACATCCATAATATGTCCCCCAGAGAAGCTTTGCGGATGGGTGGACCACTTCCCTTCCGACCGCAAGACATCTGTTAAAACTGATGGGTTCCTCTTCATCCCAAAACTATTCAAAATAAGTAGGTACGCTCAAAAAATGTTCCTGAACCAAACAAATCTGTAATAAAACAATATCAATTTCATTTAGCTCCAAAATTGTATGATAATTCAGGAAATGTCTACGTAATACAATGAGTTTCAAATAAAATGAAAATCTAAAGCGCGGAATAACACGAACAGAGTTCGTAAAATGATAATTCACAGTAAATGCTATGATCCACAGAAATAATACCATTGGGTTTCTTTTCTGCTCTATCTGCTCTTTCTTCTTGCATCTATTTCAGTTCGCCATGTAATTGATCCATACACAGGCATTGTCCTTCTATGGATAAGTATATTAGTATTTACTTATCATTCGTTACTTGTTTTTATAGACTAAATATTAATATTACTATTACGTCCAGCTGAAATGTCATCGACTGTCGAATCCTTTAAAATACACCAGATGCTGCAATTTCAGTACGAATGTTATTAGAGCCTGCTGCAGCTGGTTTTATAATTACTATTCAGGGTGTACCTTAATGATATGCGAATATTTAAGCGTGTGAATCTACATGAAAAATTAATGTTAGCTTGCTTTATAAACTATGGTCCAAAAATGTTTCCTTACAAAGACTAGGGGTGTTGAAGTTTTAGCAAAAATTTGTTTTTACACTTAAATTAATAATTTTGCAAGTTAGACAATGGAACGGTTTTTATTTTTTTACTCAAAAATGGCGCATCGAAGGAAACATCATTTGTTTTGAATTGAACGGGGGAATTCAAAAATAATTTTTATTTGGAAAAAAAAACAGTGGAAAATGAAGGAGATCTGAGAATTCGAATAACGGATGCAACCGAAAAAAAAATGGCCTTAGTGGGGTAATATCCATTTTCGCTATCATTTAACATCTCGGTAGTTCTGTCCAAAGTTCATTGGTCCTTTTTATTTACCGTATCTCACCTATTTTGTCATCTGCAGTTATCGAACATTTTGAGGGATTTTCATCATAATATTTAACCGCTGGAAGCCATCGTACATAGCCCGCGTTTTTACGTTTTCAATTCCAATGATGCAGAAGTTTCGGCAATCAAGATGATCTTAGTTAATATCTCTCCCCGTCTTCTGACTATAAAACTTAATACTTCTCATCACCTAATGCAGCACAAGTTCTCACTTTAAACTGGGAATAGAGACGATAGAGCGAATGAATCAGCTAACAAAACCATGTTGTGACTTCCGAGGAAAATTAAACTTTAACTGAAACTCATTGTTCAGTACATCTGCTCGAGTAAACTGTATTTTATCTAAAGTTTCGGAGATCGCGAGGAGGATGCCTCATTCGCTTTCTCGTTAAACAGATATTCGGCTTCTGAGGCATTCTGCGCTGTCTGCGCTTGATGTTGGTAAACTTCCCTTGGTACTTTTTCAAAGTTTATCAGAATATAAGTCAGGAATTTTAGAAAATAGTGGTTGCAACTGATTTCTGTGATCAGCAAGGTGGTCTAGCCTATGTCACAGAACTGTGGAGTAAGCTGGTGCGAGGATCAAGGCTGGACACAGTGCAACGTTGATGGGTTCCTCTTTATTCCACAATGTCAACTCGGGTGCTTTCAGGGATCGGTCTTGGCTTCAATACTGTTTATATATATTTAGAAATTGGTATTGTTGCGATGAAGATTCTACTTGTTCGTAATGCTATCTACTTTATCCTCGCTTATATTCCTCCTAAAATGCACCTTGATGCTTTTGAATCTTTTGTTGATGACATTTTGGCGATTGATTTTTTTGGTCCAAATGATTTTGTTATTTTTCTTGGAGATTTCAACATTCCCAGTTACGTGAATAGAATGTTGCATGATTCTTACAATAATAGCTACTTATATGCTATCTCTAATATGAGCCGTTTCTTTAATTTAGCCCAATACAATCGTATCCGTAATGAATATGATCGTATACTGGACTTAGTCTTCTGTAATAATTCTGTTGATGTGAGAAATGCATCTGATACTCTTTTACCAGTGGATAGACACCATCCTCCGATAGAAGTGCTCTTTTCACTTCCGCGTTCTCTGAATAACTTACGCCCAAATAATAATAATCCGCAATATAACTTTAGGAGAGCCGATCCTGCGCTGTACACAGTATTATGGCTTCAGATTTTTCTTTTCCATCTGACATCCTCGACATTAATATTGTTTGTGACGTGTTTTATAATAAATTGTATAACGCTTTCGATAGGCACGTTCCATGCACATTACCAAAGGATAACAGATACCCTCCCTGGTTTTCTCGTGCAATAATCTTTAAAATGTCAAAAAAGCATCGCCTCTGGAAGCGATATAAGAGAACTTTGGTTAGGTCTGACTATGAAGCTTTCAGTAATTTGCAAAGAGCCATAAAAATCGACATAGACTTGGCGTTTTCTATTTTTGTTGCGAGAACTGAGCGTGCCCTTGCGCAAAACCCCGATCAATTTTGGTCCTTTGTTAACTTGCGCAGCAACAGATCAGGCATACCTAACAATATGTCTTTGGAAAATGAGGAGTTCATGAATCCACAGTAAACTGTTAATACTTTTGCCAAGTATTTCCAGTCAACCATCCGCTGATTGTTCCGTTACAGCAAATATATCGTATCTCTCTATAGTGACTATTAATATGGAGCATGTACGGAATGCAATAAAACGGTTAAAGCCTAAATGTTCCACTAGCTTGGATTCCATACCTTCATTTTTTCTAAAAGACTGTGCATGTGTTCTTGCTGAGCCTTTGACATATATTTTCAATTTGTCCTTGAAATCTGCCATCTTTCCTAGAAAATGGTAATTGTCCTAAATAACACCTGTTTTTAAGAAATGCGATCGATTGGAGGTAGAGAATTAATTGTTATTTTAAGTAATATTGACAAAATTTTTGTTCTCTCATGTAAGTCGGTCAATATCGACGAGTCAACATGGTTTTTATAAGGATAGATCTACGTGTAGTCATCTGGCATGTTTTAAGCAGTACTCCGCGTCAGTTCTGGATAATGGCGGGCAAGTTGATGTAGTCTATACTGACCTTTCGAAAGCTTTCGACAGTTTGAATCACGGTGTTCTACTGCAGAAGTTGTCTAAGTACGGTTTAGCATCTAGATTCTTAGCTTTCTTTCATTCATGCATCAGTGATAGACAATTATGTGTGGACTTCCGTGGATATAAGTCTCTTAGGGGTGCCCCGAAGTTCTGTTCTGGGTCCTCTATTATTTTTACTTTTTATGAATGATGTTACAACAGACTTTCGTTGTGAGTACCTGCTATATGCCGATGACCTCAACATTTTTAATAGCGTGTGTTGCTTAGAAGACTGTTTAAGGTTACAGTCTGATTTGAATGTCATTGATCACTGGTGTAAAATAAATAACATGCACTTGAATGTCAATAAATTTACGACTATGATGTTTACATGCAGGGTGGAACCGACATGTTTTAATTTTGATATCGGTAGCAATTTTCTTTGTCGTGTTAATATCGTCAAGGATTTGGGCGTATTATTCGATCTAAAGCTTTCTTTTATTGATCACATTAATGCAATAATAGCAAAAGCCTTTAAAAATCTTGTTTTTTTTATAAGAAATAGTAGACATTTCAATAATACTAATACATTAATTTTACTTTTTAATGCTTTTGTCAGATCTATTTTAGAATACTGTCCGATTATCTGGTAGCCGGCCTATGATATACACTGTAAAAACATCGTGAGAATTCAACGTCGTTTTGTGAAATACTTATGGTTTAAAGATGATAGGGCGTACCCTAAAAGGGATATACGCAATGACATGCTCTTAAGTAGATATAATTCACCTAATTTAGTCAAACGTATGAATCGGTTAGCTGCTAAATTTTTATGTAATTTCTTGAATGGAACAATTGATTACTCTTTTCTTCTAGACAGGATCTCTCTACGCGTTCCCGATTTGCGTACTTGTCATGGTGGTAACAATTCATTTCATTTACCTGTTCCGCGGACAAATTTATTGTTATTTTTGCCTCTTTATGTTATGTGTATTTTCTGCGACAGTGTAAGTGAACTTAGTTCTAGCAAAATCGATCTCAAGAGGTGTTTTTTAACAATTGGATAATTTATATTTATGTCTTTTTTATTATGTACTGTTTGGAGTTTTGATTTTGTATAATTTTTTGTTTTTTTCCCCGCCTGTTAATTGGATCACTCTGTTCAGGCAGTGAATGA